GGGAGTTGAAGTCCACTCATCTTAAAGTGGCCAAGTTTGGACAACACTGCTCTAGTCTTTCTCTCAAATCTTCAGCCTCTCCAATGCCATGATTTCCTTTCCTACTCCTGGCTAAAATGTTTTCTTTAAAAAACTGACCACTGGAGTGCAACTACGGGAACACATTTTGTGAAGTCTCTTCAGACATGAAACATACACCTGTGCCTGTATGTGTCCTTCCTACTGTTCCAGTAAGAGAGAAGAGAGTCACTGTAGGGAGTATAGAGGATGGCCTTGAGGGACAGAGGGAATATCCACTTCCAAGGCAACAAACAGATAAACAAGAGTTGAGCCCAGGCCAAGAAAGTAGTTTACAAAAACACCTCAGACAGCCCCTCCCTGCTTAATTCTCATGAGGATTAAAAGGGAGGAAGGGAAGAACATTCAGCCTTGCAAGAGTCTGTTCCTACAGCTGTTCTAATAAAAGTAGGTTTAGGTCTACACAGTGTCTGCTTCTAGTCTGGTCTACCTTATAGGGTTAACACTCACCAATTTGCTGATCTCTTCTTGACGATCTGGGGCTGATCTCGCTGTTGCTCTAATCATAGTAGAAGTTTGATTGTCTGTCAGCTTCTTAATACATCTCTGTCCTGCAACTATATTGCATACCTGAAACAACACAGCTGAAACTTTACTGTCAAAGTATTTGTAAAAATGATAATGCGCTGTTTCTTGGGCTGTCCGTATAATCTCATCTAAAGGGCTGATCAGATACTATGTGGCTTCAACAATGCTAGCCACTATGTTACTTGAAAGCTTCTCCAGGATATTAAAAAAATCTGGTTTTCCCCATAGTGTCCAAAGCATGCAATTTTTTTTTTAAAAGACACGCAGCCAGTAATTGCTGTCACATCTTCTGGTTTTGCTTCAGTAAGAACAGAGAAATCCTCCATTAAAGAACTTCAGAAACACATGGTGACTTTTCACTGACCATGTTTTATAAGCACTTCTACCATTCTGCTATTTCCCCTTAAGACAGGAAAATATGGCAGCCTGGTAGTGAAAAACAATGCCAAATCGTGACAAAACCATCTCCTAGAATCGAAATAATGAAAAATAGACAAGGAAAAATGCTTCCTTAGCAACAAGATTACCTCTAGGGGAAGGTATGTGTGTTTCTGCTCCTGTCCAACTTGTAAACATGGAAGATGAGGATAACGTAATACTAATTTGTGCCTGTCCTTAAAATATTGAGCTACGGTGCATTCAACAGTCTGACCGCTCTCCTGCTGAAGGGGAAATCTGCAGAATATCAAGGTTAAGGGGAGAAAAACACAATTTAGTATTTGTATAAATCACCCCATGTAATATAGTTTAGAGATTGTCCTGTCTGCCCTCAAAAACCCAATCATTTTGCTAATTGCTTGTTAATGATGGCACAGTAGTTCCCAGTTAAAATCCAGCAAACCTTTGAAGGCTTATTCCTAAGTAATTCAAAACATCCTGTTCTGGATCTACAGATTTTCAATCCCTACTTATGGGTCAGTGGCCACATTTCATGCAATAGCTAATCTGGAGACCACAACCAGGATTAATGCATCCAGTCTACTCAAAATATATCTCAATTTCATACTCAGCTTCTAAAAGCAGTTTTTACAGAGCATTTCAATCAAATGAACAAGACCCAAGGGGTCAAATTTAAAACTTCAGAAAGGGACCCCTATCTCCCTACGAAAGTGTCTTTTTCCTTTGATCAGAATTTTTTAAACTGGGACATATAATAAACTCATATGATATATTTACTTTTTTTTTTGTCTGATCATTTAGGAGAAGTAGGATCCCAGTCAATGAATATGGATGTAGAATGTATAATGATTATTTTTAGATAATTGCAAAGATAAACAAAATGCCAATATTACGTTTGGTGACTTGCTGGCCTTCTGGTAACGTTGCATACTCGGTATTTTCTTTTCATTTGCCCACAATGAGTAATTTCCACCTTAAGACCTAGTAATACAGCAATATGAATCATTATTCTCCCTCTTGAGGAGCCCAGATTCTGAAAATTCACAATAGTATGCAGTCATTTTACACAACATTCCAAATCAATTGTCAGTTCTTTCAAAATTTAAAATCTAGCATAACACTGAAGATTAGTCATCTGCCTTATATCATTTTTAAGAAAATCTGGAACCATGCACACTGAAATAAGAAAATGTTACTTTAAAAACTCCTTCCTGCACAATTAAGAAGTATAACAGATGAAACACTTATTAAGATGATTTTTAAAAGGAGGCTGACCCATGTTTGACAGATTATGCGCACTCAACATCAAGAAAAAAATTTGCATAGTCTCATGTCAGACTCTTTTTCCTGTCTTACCTTTAATTTCTTTGGTAAACTTAACCCTTTGGGAATCTGTCAGAGGTTTCTGTTGTTCTTCAATACTTTTGAAATCAAGAACTTCACATACAAATTCAATTACTGGCTGTGCCTTATAAAATGCTGTCGCAGAGACTAAAAATACAAAGAAAAATACAAGTGAATAACACAGAAGTGGCTTTTATAGACCCTTGGATATCCTTCAGGTGATTAAAACAAGATAACACAAAAATTGATAAATAACTTGAAACATACCATCAATGTTCAGCATCATTTTCCACAGTGAAGGCCTAACTGACTGATGGAATCCAAACCAAACTTCTCTGCCACCTCCCAAAGGATTAGAACATCCTTCTGATGCAGTAAAAAAGGAACGGCCCACTGGAGTATATCTGTTATTTAAAAAATATATACGTAATCACAAAAAGTTCAGGAAACATTTTTTTCCCTCCTGATTCTCAACTGTGTTGTAACACAACTCAGAACCATATTGGCCAGTATCTAGAAAAGACTATACAATCTCATCAAAATCTCATAAACATCTTCCAAACACAAACTAATGTTATCTATAACCTTAAGAGATGCCATAATTGCAGGAGGAAACACACAAGGTTATTGAAGATAGGATCATGTGTGAAAGACAGAGGTGAGAGAAAAACAGGAACCAAAATGAAGTTATTCAATGGACAAGTAGCTACCAAACATGTAAGAATTTGCAAGCCAACCTGACTGCTCCACACATATGAATTCAGAAGTTCAGATTAGAACTCAGGAGTTCCCTGTATTCATTGGAGCCAAAATCAGGTTCTTTCTCACAACAATCATTGCCAAATTTTGTCTAAATGTGTCACTTCAAGCAATAGGAGCAGAAATGTGCTTTTATAAATAAAAGTTAGGTTTTTAAGGCATTTAACTCCAACCAAAAGTTCCCTAAAGACCTAAATTGGAATTTTCCTTAACTCAGTGATGCCCCATGTTTTTGAAGCTAGTTGCACATTTGGAATTTTGAAAGTATGTTATGGGTACACTCACAAATCAGTTGCCGGGGTGGGAGCAGCCAGCCACAAATCAGCCACCCATCAGGACAAAGCATTTCAAACTCTTTCAGACCGTGGGATTTGTTAGTTTAAAATCTCTCTCTCCCCCCTCAGAACCCCAGAATAAGAGACAAAGTTTTAGTGATCGAAAATTAGCTGCATTCAAATGAACTCCCTCCCCCCAAATCCCTCACGGCACCCCATTAAGTTCCTATGGTTCCGTCGAACACAGATACCCTTCATTAGAAGGCCAACAAATGTTGGGCTGCAGCCATCTACCACTTTATTTTCTAAAACTGACTTTGCAATCAATCCAAGAAGATTTCTTGGAAAAGCAAGTTCTGCTTGAGGCTAATGCCCTCTTTTTCAACATGCTTGCTTCTCCCTCCCTCCCTCTCTCAGTTTTTAATTTACAGACTCTTGAACAAGAAAATTAGGGAGGACGGGGAGTTTGACAGGCAACAAGAAACACCTTCTCAGCTAATGACTGCCTCCAGACATTAGTGTAGGAACCCATATCTCACCTCATAGAGGGCAGATGCCTCATCACAACATCAAGAGCCTGAATGGTTTCAAAAGGAACACTTGGAAGACGACCAGAGAGAGCATCATGCAACGCCTGCAGACTCACAACTGACATCCACTTGATGGCCACCTTAAATATTCTGTCCTTCCCTTCTCCTGGCAAAGTGACCTCCAATTCCACCTGCAACATTTGAAAAGCAGTACGAGATGATTCTTTCCATTTAAACACGCACATTGGAAGAATGGGGGGAAAATGGAACTGACTTCTGCAAAAAAATTAAAACCTTCTTTAAAAGGTATAATAAATGTTATCTTGCTGCGATAGCACCTTTCAATGAAAAATGAAAAAGGAGCAACAGAAAGTAATATAAGGCATATCCAGGAAACTAAAAGGCACCAGACAAAAGTTTTCAGATCAGTGAAAAGCAAGTCTATCTGGAGAAAGGAATCGGAAGTAGAATGCCACAAGTGAAAAAGGGTTTCTCTTGTCTTTCATCCACCTAATTTATGACAAGGGTCACACAGTGTTGGATAATGATTTTGGATGACTTACTGTTCTTGATGGCTTCCAAACCTCTAGATGATTTCTCAGAAAGGCCTTTATACGGTTCCCCAACCTGGTGCACTCTACAAATATGCTTATCAGCAATGGCCAACCAGATGGAAGAAAATCAATTCAAGGAAGACTGCTTTACAATTAACACTTCATCCATTTTAACATATACGGTGGGACATCAGACTAATGACGTTCTTACAAACTGTCCCCATACTTGCTTATCTTGACATTGCCAATGCTCAACCCTTACAGAATCCTAGAATTGAAAGTGGCCATTTATAATGATGAGAAAAGGCTTATAAACCCTTTAGAACTAGCAGTACTGCGACCTATAATGTGATTGGAGCTTCACCTATTAATAGATAACGAGATTCCTGTTAAATAAACAGCACTGCAAACAGTGTACTGTGTCATGTCTTTATGGAACACATTGAGCTAACACTGACTGTCTTTGTTGGAAAAAGTCTGTGAAACTTTAGATTTAGAAACAGATGGCACCTTCTTTAGCAGCGGTGACTTCACCTGAACATTTCTTGTACCTGTTGATCAACTGATCTGGAAGTAACATGGCCCGTTCCTCTTTATGGAATTGCTATCATTGATATTTTGGGGCTGTGTTACCTAAACATCTCATGTCAGGTCATGCCCCAACATTTTAATTGGATTAAGGTCAAGGCTCACAGAATTCCTCCTGCTTAGCCATTCTGTTGTAGATCTACTCGTCTATTTAGCACTGTTGTTGTGCTCTCTGACTGCATTCCTTTAAGCGTCAGTTAATGAACAAATACCCCTGATATTCTCTTGTAGAATTTGCTGGTATAATCCAGAATCATTTGTTTCCTCAGTGACTGGATTGGATTCTGCATGGATTCTGAGATGACACCAGTGCCAAACCATGCCACTTCCAGATCATACTTCATGGTTGGGGTGAGGTTCTTTTGTTGAAAACCAGTTTCATTTTGTGCAAACATAAACATTTCTCATCAGTGCCCCAAGTTCCTCTTTTGCCTCCACAGAACACCATTTCAGCAGGCTGTTGGATCATCCAGGTGATATTTGGCAAGGAAAAATGGGTGGCAATATCTTTCTGGAGAATCGTGAGGGTTCTCCTTGGTATCTCACCATATCAAGAGCACAGCACTTTTTTTCATGGTGAATTCATGAACACCCGTATCAGACAATGCAAGGGTGGCCTACAGATCTTTCCGTTACCCTGGGGATTTCTAGTATACATGCCTTGATCTTGGAGTGATTTCTATTTGACAATCACTCCTGAGAAGAGCAACAAAGGGGTTGTATTATCTGCCTAACCATGGACTGATGGAGGACAAAGTCTTTAACAATGGTTTGCAGCCCATTCCAGCCTCATGAGCATCAACAATCCTTTTTCTGAGGTCCACAGAGAACACTTGTTTGGGGCATGATTCATTTCCACAAATCCATGTCGTGAAGAACAGACATCAAAGGCAGCAACAAATGTATGTGCTTTTTTTTTTTTAGTAAGGGAGGAGCCCTCCAATTCAAACCAGATTGCCATTTCATTCACTGGATCATCTGACTCATCTACTTGAGAACGGTGATCATCCTAAAGTTTCACGTTTTTTCCAACAGACAGTGAAGTTTGGCTCCAGGCATTCAATAAAGATATGATTCAGCATACTGTTTGGCAAGGGCTTTGTTTAACCAAAACCTCTTTATCTATTAATAGGGCTTAGATGAAGCTTGGATCACACAGTACGTAACACAATTCTGCAAGATTACAGATTGTTCCAAAGAGTTCATCAACTCTCTCTCACCATAGTACACAACTTACACCCTCATAGTCTCCTAGCGTGTTCATTGCCCAGTACTCCTCAGAAACTCAGCCCACACTCAACATTCTTCCCACTGCCCATCTACTCCAGAGATATACCACATGCTCACTGCACACACACACACACACAATTATTCACCTTAACAAGTAAATAATATGGAACACACATACATTTCTCCCAACCATAAAATTATATATGCAGAAGTAGAAAGAGCAGCTCAACTTAGCATTATATACTTACTTTATCTCTCCCTATTGGAAGTGGCATTGCTGTATAGAGATTTTTTCTCCCATCAAATACTGGCTTGCGATCTCCAAATATCTGCGCTTTAAAGTGCTGGACCATGTGTTCAACTATTTCTCTGGAAACAGAGAACTCTATGAACAAAGGACCTTCTGCTATCAGATAAAGTATTAAAAAATAATATCTGTCAAAATTATAGACCTGAATAAAAAAGTAAAGCAGCATTTAAATGGTTGGCTGAAATCTACTTGGTTCTTTATTAATACAAGGATATCTGGGCATTTAGAGCACTTTCTGTCTACTCTCTCGGTGTTCCGTACACAGGATGTGCTGTTCTTCTTATATTGGAAAATGGAATGTGACAGAAAGGACTGAAGGCTGGGGATAGCTTAAACACGCGTGAAGGAAACTGGATCAACTAAGGAACATGGAACATGCATGCAACATAAATCTGTGTCCTCAGCTGATTTGCTACAATGAAGAAAATCACGCCTTGTTTGCTTTACAATATGCTGAAACAATTCCAGGCTACGGTGATAGGAGACACCTCTATGCAAAGTAAAAGGATTGTGAATAATTGCTTGTTCTCTTGTTAAGTGATTTTATTATTGCATAAAACACAAAAACCAAAGAGGCCAACAGAAATATTAAGAATACTGCCTATATTTACATGAAATACTTTGCTGATAAAATTTATCATATTTCTCCAGGGTGGATTTTCTATTATGCAGTCTCAGGCCAGTACTGTGATCCCCTATCCAGTTGTGAAGAGCGAGTTTTGTTTTGCTTACCCAGAGGTTCCTAAGCACATTCAGGCAGAAAAGCCAACCACTTGCTTGTTACATCCAAGTCCATCTTGGATGGTAAATATAAATATATGGTAAAACGAGCAATCACAAGGTGAACACTGGGCCAATTTGAGTTGTAAATGCTTCTTTCAAAGAGGATTGTGTCCTATCACCTCTAAAAGACACCACTGTAAAGCAACCTTCACTGGCCTTTCCCCACCTTCCTTCTGAAAGCAAAGTCCTACAAGGAGTGGCAGTGAAATTTCAGGCTTTCTTAGATAAAGCTAATGATTGAATCCATTCCAGTCTCAGTTCAGATTTGCCTTGGCGACCTTTGCCAGGATTGTGATAGGACAAATCATCCCTGCTGATTCTGTTAAACTCTCAACAGCACTTGACAACACGGATTATAATCATCTCAAGGCATGGGATATACAAATGCTGAGGGAAAAGAAGCTTAAGGACTCCCTAAGGATACTGTCTTATCCCCAGGTCCTTTCACGTCCACTGGAGAGATCACCCAGAGGTTTAGGACTATGTCTCATCTCTGTACAGACATCAAGCTTTTTTTTTTAATTAATGGCCCAAAGACTATAGAACTTACCACATATTAGTCCTAGAATCCTCTAGTCAAGAAGGCCCTACAGATAAGGGATAATATATTCTCTTTAAGGAACAACAAAGAGAGCCAAAAATAACTCTCCTGCAAACTCCCAGCTTTATCCATTTAAATACCTCAGACATTCCCCCATGTAGGGTAGAGGACCATTAGCATGGTCACAGCTGAGAAAACCCTACATAAGGGGACAAATGTTACGAACTGCTATCTCTCTCTGGGGACTTCTGACACAGCCTCTGTCACATAATTACAACTGCATTTTAAAAGGCTGTAGCGACTGTATAAATATTAAAAGCTTCTTCCGTATCTCCAATACATCCCCACAGGTCACTGTACAATATAGGTGTTTCTGAGCATATACAAGACCCAACCTGCAAAAAGACAATTCACAGGGGCTGAAGCAGACTGTTTTTAAGATAAGAATCTGCATTTCCATATCACATTAAGCCTAGACTCCTGCCTTAACAAACCATGGTGTGAACCAGAAAAAAGAGCTTTGCATTGGGATAATGATTAAGTATGTCTTAGCAAGCTGTAACCATAAGCCTAGCATAAAGCAAGGGTTATTATTAGCTAAGAATTATGTTGTGTTTGGGATTATTTAACCACACTCCACATTTGGAGCTAATACGAAACTGTCCTTTTGTGATCTGCTCCCATAAATGAAGGAGTGTCTTTCTGCTACCAGCAGCAACTTGCTTCTTTCACAGTTTATTAAATCAGCAATCTTGGCTTAAGTATATAAAATATGGTAAAAATCTAAAATTATCGTTTTAGATAATTTATTACGAAAAGTTACACTAGCAGCAATTTCAAGGCTAATCTAAATATTCTTTGCTTGGCATGTACCTATGAGATAGACAGAGAAATGACAGAGGCAAAAGGACTCTCTTGAATTTGCCTTTGTTTAGCCAAATTAACTCCCATGCCAGTCCCAAAACTGGTTGAATTGCGGGGTGCGGGTGGGGATGAGGGTACAACTTTGGTGTCATATATACTAAAAGGTGGCCAAGGCAATACATACAACCACATTCCAGAAAACATTCAGACCTAAACTATGCTGTGGTTGACTGAAATCCAGATTCTGCCAGGACTTTATAAATCAGCAAGTTTTCTTCTTTCATTTTTTTTAATTAGTAGAATGTATATCCTACCTTCCCACTTACCATAGTGCTCAAGATAGTTAAAAAAATGCAATCTTCACCCATAAAGTGTAAAGAAAGAGAGCAGCCCCATCCTGTCCAAACAGACATGTCTATCAGTGTTGGTCCTTTGAGGTAGTCCAGACAGGAAACTAAGACCATGAGTCCTAACACTACCTTTACTGTAAGATATTGTAACAGAATCTTGTAAGTCTGAAAAGCACTCCCCCTCCCCTGCCTTTACTTTCCAGAGAACAAGGGAGGGTCCCCTCTGAGATGCTTACTCAAATTACATTTTTGCCCTGGACTCAGATTTCTCTTATCAGACCATTGTCTAGGCTGCGGCTCTTCCTCCTGTCTCTCAAGGTTATTCTCACAGCCCAATACAATCAGATACAAACCAACATTGGGCTAAGTCAAGTATCAGAATTCACAGCAGCTCATGATCAATTCCACCACTAGGGTTTTTATCTCAAAGACCCTTGGAATGAAACCCAGCAACCTACCCCTATCTTCATCTATCACTTCTCCATTCATAGGAACTCAGATGAAGGCATGTAAATCTTACCTGTTGTTATATATAGTTTCTCCAAAGTCCTTTTATACAACCAGACAAATGTGTCTGCTTCCCCCTGCCAGCAGGTGAAGACAGGAAAATAAGCAGTTGGTAACATCACCTCCCCATTTAAGAGGTTTGCTAGCAAACTACAGTACCAACTAGAAAGCAAGATCAGGAGTGACTGAAGGAGATGAAATTTGTGAGATGTGAACTGTCATACCAGCAAAACCAATTAAGTCTGAAAGTTGTATATAAAATACAGCACCAGTAACCATAGGGTAGGGGAAAAAGAAAATATTTAGGATGGTATAAGAAGATTTGGAGAAACTAATCTTATTTATAGAAGATACTTTTACATGCAAACGTAACAGAAGAATTATTACTTTAGGTTTAAAACAAAAATGCCATCACCACCAATAATCCCATGAGAAATATCTCAGCACCAAACTACATGCCTTGAAATGCACTTATTTTAAACAAAAACAAAAAAAAGGTGAAATGTATGAAACTATGGGAAATGCAAAAATGTGACATACCTGTTAACTCTTCTAGGACACTTCTCGGGCTTTATATCCAATTCATAATGGTAGATGTCCATTTTGGGAATGTCCATTTCAAAGAAATTGGCTTGCAGTTTGATTGTTCTTCCTGAAGTACCGAAATCAGGTCGAGGGGGAGGTTTAAATGCATACGCCTGCATTGGAGGTGGCAGTGATGGAGGCGTTGTAAGGACTACAAGAGAGGGAAATCACAACAAGTGATGCAAGTTCTGTCATTCTTTCCAACTAATCCTCCATCTTTAAAGAAGGAAAGGTATCTCTTGTTCTTTAAAACCGGCATCCACCTTTTGCCACGACTAACAATAGAACAGTACCAATACACTAGGCTAGATATCAAAAGAGAGGACATGTTTGATCAAAATCATCTACAGAGGCAACCATAATCACTCTGACATCACAGCAACAGCAGCAGCCACAATGCAAACCAGACTAGTTGCCCTGAAAGGAGAGACTTCAATGCTCGTCTAGGAAAAGCTACACAACGCAATAAGGAATGGAGCAGAATACGCAGCCTAACCAAAGTGATAGTCCTGAAGCAGCATTTATGTAAGTGGGATTGACACAATTTAAGTGTAGGTTATTCTTTGACGGAAAGAATAACAAATAACTCATTACTAGATGAAGCCAAACCAGGCTGCTTATTGCAAGCACTCAGAATAAAGGTACAGTTTAAATATTTTGAATACATAATACAAAAGCAAGACCCTGATGCTAAGAAAATCAAAGGCAATCAAACAAGAGGTCAATAGAAAAACAGCTGGGTGGATACTACCGCTGATCATAAGCAGGAGTTTATAAGAACTCCAAACAGCTACTAACAATCAGTCTTAATGAAATTACAGCCATCACATCACAAAGAGTTGAAAGCATCTGACCTACTGCATATATTTTTATGTCTATAGTTCCCATAGAAATGGTATTTTGTCATTAGCACGACAGATTCAATTTGTAATTACTGTCAGAAAACGACAGACACGGGTTCGGTTATCCAGTAGACAGAAGTTTTTATTGGGTCACGTTTGCAAGGTGGTCCTCCGCAGCATGGAGGACCC